AAAGTAAATTAAAATCTGTGCTTAATGCTTTTCGATTCGGTGATCGACATAACCTGGCACAGATTTCAGAAGTGCGATATCTAATCAAAAATTTTGTTGATATTAATAGCTAACAAAATAGTATTCAAGAAGAAATAGTCGCGTAACTTCCGCCTTTAGGTGTCCCTCACTATATAATTTTCACTTGATTTGCATAACAAATATCAATATCTTTTTATTGGTCTGCAATAGACGACTTTCATTAAGCCCAGTACAGTATTTACCCGTAAGTGGCCAGATATAAGAGCCAGGTCTGATACATTCTACCAATTTCAAAACCTCTAATAGACCTCGAGTATAGCACGTGACTAAAAGAAACTATATAATACAGTATAATAGTATAATAGTATAATGTAATGACTTTTAAAAAGAACCACCTTTAATTAAAGTTCTTGTGATTTACGCCCGTATATAGTACGGGTCAATTATCGTTACTGAAGGAGTATTTTATCCGCCACTTACGGTATTCTAGATTATCTAGATGACTCTTATACGGATATAATCTATAGTATAGCAAGTAAGCAATAATATTAATAAAAATATAATTGTTTAAATACTGTATATACAATATTATATATATATATATATATATACGTATATACAGTATATATATATATTAATTATATAGATAAGGTTGAAGATCAACATACTTTACATTTTTTTATCAAAAACATAGAATATGATTTTTATATATATTATATATTAATTATTATACAGATAAAATAATTTGGTTTTATTTCGATTGTTTTTTGATCAACATACATATTAGTTCTCTTATTAAAAGCATAAATTTAGATAGAATACGAATTTGGGTAAGATAATCAATCATACGATGTAAAATAAGGTAAAAGGGTAAATCGAAATAAATGAATTAACTTATTATAGTATTAAAACAATTAAACAACTAATATAAAATTAGATGTGATATGAGTGAGGTATGTAGCATAGATCATAGGAAAGCTTAAAGATTTGCTTATATTAAGAAATTTGAATTAATATAGTATGGGTCAACAGATAAAATCAACCGGAACCAAAATTATATCTGGATTTTACTGGAAAAATCTTTAAAGTGCGAATCTTTTTATCTGCATTATTATTAACGTAGTCATTTACGGTAATCAGATGTCTCGATTGCTTTAACGAGACCGAACTAAGAGATTATAATACAGATAGATGCCTTGATTGCTTAACAAGACCGAACTAAGAGATTATAATACAGATAGATGCCTTGATTGCTTAACAAGACCGTAAGAGGATGTCTTGATCGGTTAACAAGACCGTAAGAGATTAATAATATAAATTGGTTTAAATATCTGTTGATTTTTAGTATGTATGTGTGAGATATACACAAGTTCATAAGAGAACTTTATTAAATTTCCTCGATTAAAAAAAGAATGTTCAATAATAATAATAAAAATAAAATGTCAAAATGGTAATGAATCTCTAACAATTGCAGCTGATTTATCATTCAAGAAATTTCTTCCAACCATAACATCTCTAATTATCATTACATGATGATGAAACCTCTCAAAAAAGACCTTAATTTGAATTTGATTCTTTATAGACATATATTTAGTCTTACAAGTAGGTGGTACATCGCTTGGAATTTTAATAATGACAGTAGTTTCAAAGACTGTATCAGGACCGGTAGGTGTCATAACAATATCTTTTCCATGAACTCGATATTTTGAATGTCGTTTATCACGATTAATAGGAATAATTCCATAATCATCAATTGCATATTTTGTAAAAGTTTTAAGACATGCTACTATTTTTCTAATTCTAAGATCAGGATCATGAGAAGTAAGACGTAAATTAATCATAACTTCAGAATTAATATCAAAAAAAGTTTTTGGGAGAATAGCCTCCCAAGAAAGTGGAAGTTTTCGATTTTTTGCTCTTGATTTAATAACTAAAAGTCTTAATTCTTGTTCATCAGGAATTGACCATTTATAAAGTGGTACTAAAACTTCCACACTAGAAGTTTTCTTTTTAGGTTTACGATTAATAGTAGCTTTCAATGTATATTCAACTTTTCCATAATGTGTAATAAATGATTCAATAGCATCATCAGGAATTTGAAATTCAAAGGGTAAATCTAAATCAGTTAAAAGTTCATGACCAAATTCTGATGTAGTTTGCCAAAGGTAAATACTTTTGTTTACTACAATTTTTTCAGCTCTAACTTTTTTCAAATCAGCCCATTCCATGATTTCTCTGCCAATAAATGTAAGTGTTATATTCTTTGCTTCAATTGCTTGCGGAAATCGAACGTGAAATGTACCAGAAATTGAGGTAGAACTTATACCAAGAAAACCTTTTTGAAATGAAGTATTTTCAGGGTGATAAGAAAAAAACATTCGTGGGTCAGCTTGGATATAATCGGAAGGTAGAGGTGATGATACAGCGAATGCCATATTTAAAATAATTTTTTATTAAACGTGGAAAAAAAAAAGACAAATTTTATTCTTTATTTAGAAATTTTTTACTCTCTTAGATATAGAAATGAAACGAGCAAATTTCTATAAGCACTTTTTCAAACGCGATGTTAAAAATTTTCAATCTTATATAGCAATTGATTCTCCAATTAACGCATATACTCTTCATGTTAATATAAAAGTTTATTTATGACGTAAATATGACATTTCCTTGCATACATCCTGATAAGGTTAGATATCTGATACGTATATTGAAAATTTTTATAAGGTTAATATATAAAAAAAAAAAGAGGCTGTTAAAAACGTTCACAAGATTGAAATTTGGTTTCGGAGAAATAATCACGAGCATTTGGCAAATGTTTATGTATATTTCATTGAAATACTGAAATATCGATATTTTATCTCCTTTATTACTTTATTACTGTATAATTTTTTTTCAAAATTTCGGTTTGGGCTTTTCAGACCCTGAATTTTAAAATGATGTCATTTTTGAAAAGCCCAATGAGGGTAATTAAATGACACAATAAAATGAAAGAACTTTCTTCAAATGATATCATTTTAAGTAAAATTTGAAAGATCGAATTATTTTGAATAAATTTTCTAATAATGTCGGGTTTAGAGTAATTAGAATAGTTTAGAGTTGAATTGGTTAATAAACGCAACCCAACGTGGGCTAATGATATTCCATTACGACATTCGAGACTCCCACGATTTTAGTCTTTGAACAATCTCATAGGATTACCGTCATTATTCTTCTTAGGCTACCTTTTGAAAGCTAGGCAATATTAAATTACATATTAATAAATTACATATTAAATCATATACATATTAAATTACATATTAAATTACATATTAAATTACATATTAAATTACATATTAAATTACATATTAAATTACATATTACAATTCAGTGGGGTATGTACTGGTACAACTGCGTACAACTGAATTGAAATTTTTTTTAAAATAATCTTTCCCCGAATATTCCATTTTACATTCACATCCTTATTCTACAAATGACAGCTTTTAATGCATATATATATATATTGAAGATTAGCTCAACTAGCTCGGAATTCGTAGTCCGACTTCGTAACGCATATTGTTTCATACTTAACTATGAAGTTATTAATCATGAAGTTATTAACCATGAAGTTATTAATCATTAACTATGAAGTTATTTATAACAACAATGAATTATACCGAAATCACTACAAGAAGGCTGTACAAAAATCGGACCAACTAGATTGAAAATATGAATATTATACATGTATGTAATTATGAATGATTTACGGCAGATTGCATGATTTTAATGGTTTAATACTTTCGCTACGTATCTATCGCATATCACTATGGAGAATTTTTTTTTTTGCCCGCAGAAAGTATTATAAATTATTACTATTATAAATTATGAGATGATCATTCGGCCGAATTCATTGATTTTGAGTTCTGGATATATATAAAAAAATAATGATATAAAAAATAATGATATAAAAAATAATGATATAAAAAATAATGATATAAAAAATAATGATATAAAAAATAATGATATATAAAATAATGATATATAAAATAATGATATATAAAATAATGATATATAAAATAATGATATATAAAATAATGATATAAAATAATGATATAAAATAATGATAAAATCATTAACGTTACTTTTATAATTGATATATAAAATAATGATAGAATCATTAACGTTACTTTATTTCTTTTATAAAATCTTGTAAAGGATAATACTCGTAGATTCACTTGCCATATGTGATATATGAATAAAAAATATAAGGAATAGTTTAACAAATATAATACTTATTTTTTCCCTATTTTTTCGTGGATCCACCCTATTTCCGTAGACTACATTTGACCTTTTTAATTTTTCGTATATAAAATAAAGTTAAGTTTCTTTTAACTATATTTACATATAAAATTAATTAATTGGCTAACACGATAAATAGGTCTACGAAAATAGGATGGATCACCGAAAATAGGTATATTTTAAAAAAAAATTATACGTATCGATATCAGTATATATCGATATATATGATATATATATATTATATATACAATATATATATATATATATATATATATTTATTTACTGTAATAAACTGTAACTATAGTTGTTAATATTGTTTACTAAATTTAAATTAGCACCATGCTATCTACTCTAATTCCTAATTTTTAAATATTAGATTGGCGGAAATAACTTAAATCTTAGATTTACGGAAATAACTTTATATTTTATGTCAATTTCAACATCCTAAAATAATTTCAGCAGCCTTTCATTTACGTCAGATGCAAAATAATTTTAGACATGTATCAGATTAGAGAATGTACCCGTAGAAAAAATCGTTTACTCAGATATCTGATATATATATATTATTAAAATATCCGGTTCGCCGGGTAAATTATTTTTTTCTGATACGTACGTAAAAACTTTATTCAGATATAATACAGCAATATCTAAATTTGATCGCTCTGTTAGCGTTAGGTTTATCTTTAAAATAAGAGAAACCTAAAAAAGGAAGACCGAATATATTAAAGGCATCCCGGGATTCTGTTACGTACGTACGTACGTACGTATATCACTATGTTGACAATTGGAAAGATAATCGACAATTAGCAAACAAATTAGTAAAACTGGACATTTATGTCCCAGTTCAAATTAAATCAAATTAAAAAAGAAACAAAAAATGATTATATATATAAAAAAACGCCAACACTGTAATAAATATACCTTTTTTATTATAAACATGAATGATCTTACGTAAAATTACAAAATCAAAAAAAAAAAAAAAAATTTTCCAAATCGAAAAATTAACAATAATAAATAAAAATATAATAATAATTCTAACAACTTTTTTTTTTTCAAAAAAAAAAAAGACTATATATATTTAAAAGAAAAAATAATAATAATAAAAAAAAAAAAACCACAATTTCACATTTTTTGTTATCAAATATATTCTTCAGCATCTACAAACTCATCATCATCTTCACTATCACTAAATTCATAACTATCTACAAATATTTCCTCTTCTTCCTCCTCTTCTTCATCGTCATCATCAACAGTAACCTCATAATCATCAACTATAACTAAAGAAGTCATTATACTAGATTTTGGTATATTAGTTTCCACCAGTGGTAATGAATCATTTTCCTTGATAATGTTATTAAATACATCAGATGGACTATTATCCGTTATGGATAAAGCTTCTATAATTCTAGGATCTATTGTTTGCAAATCTATTATATCAGATCTATCTTTCATCGAATCAATATCACTATTAATATCAACTTTTACATTATTAAGATTATTATTATTATTTTCAAAAGTAAATGATTCAACATCATCATCTTTAATATCATCATCTAAATTATTATCTTTTCCAACATTTTCAAAACCTAAATCAAATTCTGAAGCATTTCCATGACGATATACAAATTCTTCTTCATCATGTTGAGAAACAGTAGTTTGACTTGAACCTCCACCATAACTATCACCACCATTACTTGAATATTGCATAGAAGATAATGAAGATGTAGAACTTTTTGGTAATAAAGAAGTTCTATGTTTTTCATTCTTTCCTTTATCTTTTACTTCAACTTTATCATCATCATCATCATTTTTAATAATTATCGAAGGAGAATTTGAAGATTTAATAGTATTTGTAGTATTATTATCTTCATAACCAAAAGATTTAGTTATATTAGTAATATCAGATATATCTTTTATATCTAATAATTTTTTAGGTTGATCCTTATTTTCAGTATTCAAAATTGAAGACATCATTGCTGAAACTCTATCATCACCACCCGTTATAGAACCAATTAAAGAAATATTATCTTCTGAACTACTTTCACCACAAAGTCTATACATACTTCTTCTATTTAACCAATATCTATCATCTTCCATTACTGTAGCGCATAAATCTTTTTCTAATATTTCATGATAACATACTAATCTTGATAATTCTAAACATGTATGTCGAAGTTTAGTTGCTACGTTATTTGCAATTTGTATTATTCGATCTCTTGTTGATGCTTTATAAGGGATCATGACAAATAGATTATTACGAAATCGAACTTCATTTTGAAGTTGAGCAGTTAACGTTGAAATTTTTCCTTGAAGTTCTTCGATTTTTGACTATAAAATAAAATAAAATAAAATAAAATAAAATAGGGTGAATAAATAAATAAATGAATGAATGAATAATAAATGAATGAATGAATGAATAAATGAATAAAAAATATAGTATAAAAACTTACGCGTAGCAAGTTGGCACGTCCTTGAGCATCTTTAGCATTATCTTCTTTTAATCTGGGAAAAGTTCTAAATTTATCATGTCCTTTTTTCGCATCTCTTCTACTAATACCCGAATTTCCAAATTTAATTCCATCCGTATGCTTTTTACTAATAGGAACTTTATCATCTCTTTTTTTATCATTAATTCCATTATTTAAACCATTACCTAAACCTAAACCTAAACCTAAACCATGACCTAAACCAGTACCATTATCATTTTCATTTTCATTAGCATCGATAATTTTAAATAAAGAAGCATTAAAACTTGAAACTCCACTAGTACCACTTCTAATATTTCTAATTTTTAAACCAACAGTTTTAAAAGTAGCAGCATAATTAATTTTTGATATCCAATCATTCATTTCAATATCATTTTCGGCTTGAAATAAATATTGATGACCTTGTGGACAAACTAATCTAAATACATTTTTGTATTTATCATAGCTTTTATCGTATACCGCAACTGAATCTGCCGTCATTAGGATCGCATCAGGTTTTAAGACAGGAAGTTTCGGTGATTTCTAATATTTTTTTTTATTTGATGTCTGTTAAAATTTAAGTAATTATAAAAAAATAATGATAAAAAAAAAATAATAATAAAAAGAAAAAAAAAAATAATAATATGCATTATTTTTTTTTAAAGAAAAAAAAAAAAAATTTTAAAATAAATACAAACCCCATTTTTTAATTCACTCATTTGTGTATTAAACCAAGCTTCATCTTTAAAAAACATTAATTGACTTCCACTTAATATAACACCATATAATTTCCAATTTCTTCCACCTTTCTTTTTACCATCAATTAAATCAATTTTTCTTCCAAGTTTACCACCTTTTGTTATTTTTAAAAGAAAAGTTCCATCTTTTGAAGGTTGAAATGAACTAGTTGTAGTACTAAATGCATCACCATTACGTCTATTTTGAACACCAGTAATACGAATTGTTTGAGCGGATGAGAATGAACGATGAAGATTTGCTATGTCTAAAGATGGAAGTGTACCAATGTAAGAATAAGGATTTTCGACAGGAATTATATCTTTGATGTATGGTTTGAATTCAGTAGGTTGTTTCTATTAAATTTTTTTAAAATATATATATTTAAAATTACTTGTAAATTAATAAGAAAATAGAAAAAATTTTTTTTATAAAAAAATGAACAATTAACCTACGGTCTGTATCACATAGTAAGGATCATTTCTAGGACGTAATGATTTTCTTTTATCTTTTGAAGAAGAAAAGATCTTTAATTGACGATGATCAGTGGTTGGAGATTCAAGCATTGTTTGTCCATTAACATCCACATCATCTTCAGCATATATAAATTGAGTAATTACAATATTATCGTAAAGAATCTAATATTTAAAAATATTTAAAAATGAAGTATTGGTTATAGTATAGCTAAAAGATAATATTACATTGCAGTATATACAGCAACAGTATAGTATATACAGCAACAGTATAGTATATACAGCAACAGTATATACAGTACAGTATGTACATTGAGAATTACCTCTAATATTTCAGGATGTACACCATCAATACGAGTATTTTTTATAAATTCTTCTTTTGTCATTTTTCGTTTTACATTTTTATTAAAAGCGTCAGTATGAAGCATTAACAAGGAAAAGGCCACAACATATGGAGTATCTAAGAATTGATAATATATATTTGATTATTTTAAATATTATTAAATATTATAAAAAATATATTATTATAAACATATAAATAATTTACCTGCAGAGGCAAATAAATCAGGATTCAATTCATGATATCTCTTTGCAAAAGCTTCCATAACTCGATCGATTTGTTGAGTTTCTTTTGGTAAATGACATTCCATTAGTAATTTCCTATAGTTTATTATTAAATCACGCGTATTTTAGGTATTTAGCTATAAATGATGAGCTATTAAAAAAATGCTATTAAATATTTTCAAATACTATTTAATTCTATTTAAAAACGCTATTTAAAATACTACTAAAAATCTATTAAATTTATTTAAAAAAAAAAATTATTAAATGGATATTAAAATATTACATACCTTAACGCGATATCAATAGGGTCTTTTTCAAAATCAAAAGATTCCATGTAAGCTTTAAGTGCAGCTTGATGAAACGCGTCAGGTCTATCATATATTGAAAATAAGCGATAATAATAAAAATAGGCGGTAATAATTAATAAGAATAATAAATGATATTAAAAAATAAGCGATAATAATTAATAAGACTGATATTAAAAATGATATTAAAAATAATATCCATAATACAGTAATATCAATTAAGAATAAAAAATACGTACTTCTTGGCAAGCATAGTAGCTAAATTTGATTTTGAAAGAGTATAACGCATTCTTTCAAGATATTGTATTGGAGTTTCAGAACCAGGTTTAGTATCAATTTTTGGATTTATATTATTAATACTAGTATTATTATTTAAATTTGTTAAAGATTTAGCAGTAGGGATAGAATTTTTTTCAATTTCATCAATTGTCGATACGTTAGGAGTATGTATTACAGGAGCAGATTCCATACGTTTAAGATGGTGCTGTGGTTTTCGAGATTTTAGATAATTTGGAATATTATCATTTTGAGAATTAATATTGTTCGATAAAATTTTTTTTGAAGAAAAAGAAATTTGTTTTGATTGATCATTTGAAGAACCATCAAGGTCAGAAAGATTTTTTGAAGGAAATTTAGTTGTTGTTGAAGTATCATAAATACTACTATTACTAGTAATTGGAGAAGTAGAAATATTATTATTGTTAATATTATTAATATTATTAATATTATTATTACTATTATTACTATTATTACTATTATTATTATTATGATGAGCAATTTGCTTCGTATCATCAATAGAGAAATTGGAACTGGCAGTGAGGAGACCGCCATTTTCATCAGGTTCAATAGGAGAAAAGCTAAAATCCCCTAGATCAAGATAAAGGGGACCACTTCCATCAGTATTTTTAGCCGAAATAGTAGTAGTAACGGTAGTAACAGTAGTAGTAGTAGTAGTTCTCGTTATTGTTGCAGCATCAGCAGCTACTTCGGAAGTATCGGAAGCTTTAGTGTCTTTCTGTATTACGAGTTTTGGAATTATTTTTGTGGAAGAAGTCTTTGAAGAAGAATTAACATTTCGACGCGATATTTGAGGGATCGTATTATTGTTGGAGTTTGATGATAATGATGATGATGGTGATGTGAATTGTTTTCGTTTATTTGTTGAGAACATATTTGTATATCGATATACTATATTGATTTTTTTTTATTACTCGTCAAATCTAATTTAAATTTAACGAATATGCGAATTATATGTAAATAAAAAAATATTTTTTTTTTTTGGGAAATAAGAATTTTAAAGAAAAAAAGAATAAAAAGTTGACAAGTGTGAGCCCACCAAATCCTTAACTGAACCAAAGACACAGTCTTTGAAAAAGTAAAACAAAGAACCGATAAAGAAAAGGGGAATATATGTAATGTAAGTAATGCAACTGTAGTTGTGATTTTTTTTTTTTTTTTTTTATATATTGTTGTTGTTTTTGGCACTTTCAACGTTAAAATATAACATAAACATATCTCGCTAACAAAAAAATCTATAAAAATCTATATATGTACTTAAATATATATATATATACGTATATATATATATATATATCTGTATATATATAATAGATAATATATATTATATATTGTTTTTTTTATATCGTTAAAAAAAAAAGATATACGACGAGATAGTATTGCGGTTTGCGTAAATGTCCCGAGGATTATATAGGCGTTTAAAAATGAAGGAAGGTTTTTCTTTTTTTCGAGTGTAGAAAATGGATCGTCATAAATTTGAAAGAAGTTGTTAAAGTTTTTTAAGAAATTAAAGGAATCTTATTGGTTAATGATAAGCAGAATAGCAGTTACACGCATAATATGATTGGGACAAATTTATGCTGATATTTTATGTATTACCCTGCTTATTTCCTGCATTTTATTTCGCTTGTGTTTTTTGTGATTTATATAATTGAACTATATATTCTTATTGAATGCATAATCGCTTACATTACTGGTAAATATTTGGAATGGTACAAAATGATGTTAAAACTTTCCCACAAGAATCTGCAAAAATATGTATGATCTACGTCACAATAAATTTACATTTCCGAAGCGAAAACCGAAATTCAAAAAAAAGAAAAAAAAAGATTAGACAAAGTACATAAATTTAAATAAGTAACAAAGGGTACGTAAGTAATTTAAACCGAAAATGATATTCAAGATATTCAGGTACAAAACCGGTAATCAGGAATGATTGCTTTTAACCAAATTCGACAGAGCATTGTTATAAACTGATAAACTTGCATGCATACTCCGCCGGTTTGCCAAAATTTTGCCTTTTCAAGAAACATTTTTACTACCCTTTATGTGTATCTTGTTACCTTTAAAATGTTGGACTTCAGGCTTAAACAAACAAGAATGCATATGATTTTTAATTATTATATTAAATATTTCTTTTTACGTATGTACAGGTATCAATATTCGGTAACGGTAAGCTTTGTGAAGAACGATCTGGTCTTTTTAAATAAGTAATTATATGTAATCAATTTTAGATGTAATAATAATTAATTTTTAAATGTATAAAAAAGGATTTTTGACAATGATTGAAGCATTTATTGAATCATTTTATTGAATCATTACAGTATTGAACAACCATTTATTGAATCATTTTATTGATCCATTTCTATAATATATCCCAATAATCTCAATCTATTCAATCTATTCAATCTATTCATTTTATTCAACCTGATTTACAAAACACAATAACTACTAATTTGTACTGTAGAAATACTGCATAATATTAAAAAAATATTAAAAAATATTGTAGATAAATAAATAAATAAAATATATACAGTAAATAAAGAAATACAGTGTATATACTGTATATAGTATATTATATATTATAATAATTTAAGTTTACGATAGAAGATTTCAAGATTTGATTGGTGGAAATTTCCACGTGCTAAACGAATCGAATTTAGTGAAAGTATACGCAATGTAAGTATTGAAATAATGTAAGTGACCATGTGAAAAATGTGAAGAAGAGGCATGTTAAATACGAAACAGAAAGATGTTATTCATTATTAAATGATATAAGGATCTCTACAAATACTATGGTGAGCCTTAAGAATCTATATCCAGAGATTTTTGTAGATGCAAATCCGTGACGCCTGCAGAAAACAATTAAATCATGTGATATTTTCCAAAGATTTATTGATTATAGTATTTGGGATTGAAAAGCTTACACGGATGATATAGATATAGTAAGTTTAGTTCTTATAATCTACTAACATAAATAACATAATAACATAATAATTATTTTTCATCATTTGACGTGATAACTTCAAATGGGGCTAAGCTTGCCTTTTATTAATTGTATAGTATATACAGTATAGTATATTGGTTTTGAAAATATTTTTATAGGTAAAATACCGTAAAATATGGTAAAATGTAGTAAAATGTAGTAAAATATAGTAAAATGTAGTAAAATGTAGTAAAATATAGTAAAATGTAGTAAAATATAGTAAAATGTAATAAAATATGGAGAATAAGCACAGCACCCTCTACCTTATTTTTTCAATTTCAGATTAGCGAAAATAGCAATACAATCTTTAATCAAGTTATTCCCGTTAATCTGAAATTGAAAAAGGTGCTGTACTTATTTTCCATATTTACGGTATCAAATTTATCAAATTGAAAAATTACTCTAAAAAGATTTAAAAGATTTTTAGGTAAATATTAAGATAAATATTAAGATAAATATTAAAAGATAAATATTAAAAGATAAATATTAAAAGATAAATATTAAAAGATAAATATTAAAAGATAAAAGATAAAATAAATATTAAGTATTTTATCAGCTCCTTATACGTAACTATGTTGTAATAACGTTTAATTACAACTTTTACGCTGCAACATGACCCTTGACATACGTACGACTTACATAAATTACGTATCTGCATATTTGATTGTAACTTCAAAAACATTATGTACTGTATGATGATTTAAGAATGGGTTATATATCATAGTTGACACAATAATACATTATCTCTCTTCTTTTCAAAAAAAAAAAAAAAAAAAAAAAAAAAAAATAGGTTCTTATATTTTGAAGTGTGAAAGACTCTGACTCTAGATGCTTTGGACTTGAAAAAATCTCTTGTTCGTATTTCCTTTTTCGTATTTCACTTTTCGTGTTTCGCTTTTTGTGTTTCGCTTTTCATCGTATTTAATTTTTCATCGTATTTAATTTTTCATCGTATTTAATTTTTCATCGTATTTAATTTTTCATCGTATTTAATTTTTCATCG